GAGTCTATCTATCTGCATTTAGCCTGCCAGGCTGCCTCACTGTGCACTGGTGACATGACAGACACTTAGCAGTGAAACCATTGTTTCTGGGCTGGCCTGAAACAGGGAAATTACTCAGCCCATTACAGCAATGAGCGGCACACTGGTTCCCAGCACTTAGTATGGCAATGAGGCAGCACAGTGGGAGACATCACACACGAAGATGGACACATGTAGAGACACACACACACACACACACACACACACACACACACACTTACACACACACAAATCAAGGGTATCTCTGCTACTGACAGCTGGCTACCACTGTCAGTCTTTCTCCCTTTTTTGAGAGAAGAGATGATGAACCTATTATATGGACCTGTCACAGAGAGATGGACATATAGACACATACTGCATGCACACACACACACACACACACACACACACACACACACACACACACACACACACACACACACACACACATGCACACACAGTCTGATTTAATTTTACATCCATCTGCGCACCAAAGAGTTTTGTTCTGTGACCCATTAGAATTCAGCATCCCCTCTCTCATTTTGCCTCCTGCTTTTGATTTAAACCAGAGGGGATGTGATCTGACTGTGATGAATGCTGAGACTTATCACACTGCTCAGTCTGAGAGCATGTATGTGTATGTAATACTTAATATTCCTGTAATTAACAAAGCTCTTTCGGACTGTGTGAAGGTTGTCTTATTGTGATATAGATATAGCACACACACACACACACCTTCATTTCTTAGTCTAAATGGAGGTCCCTCCTCTGTATGTCCACGTGTTCAAAGCAAAAACTGCTTGGCTCTTTCGTGCATAACTTCAGAGATTTTAATAGGAGGTTCGGTGGCAGCAGATACCTAAGATTGCATGTGTGTGAGTATGTGTGTGTGTGTGCACCGCCGTGTTTGAGACGACTGGGGCTTTGATAATGTATTCATGCCTCCCAATGACAAATGGCTCCCACCAGGAGGCGGTTTAACATTTAAATGAGGAGCAGGAGAAAACACTGAACCACAACACACAGCAGCGAGTGGATACGCAGGGCCAGGCTAGAGAGGCACTGCGTGTACCAGGACAAAGACATTAAAAACCGGGATGAACATACAACTTCAATCCACCCACACACAAACACACACATCCACAAACACTGAATACAAAAACCAATGTGAAGGAGGGAGAAGGGGGTAAGATGCGGGAACAGCTGGCATCCCGGCGGGGAATCAGAGAGCAGAAGAGAATTTGTTGGCGTGCAAAACCAGCAGCTACTGCTGAGAGTTTATATAAACAGCCCATCAAGCCCTCTGCTCAGGTTGGAACAATATCTCCTCAAACAATATCGCTCCGCCGACCTGCCAGGTGCCGCTGCCCAGGCAAAACTGGATTGTGGATTTTCGGTCATTAACTCAGAAACAGAAACACATGATGAAAAGAGGGAGACAATGTGCAGTACAGATGCAGGGATGAATGTGAGCACCAGTGCATGCAAATAAACAGATAGATTTACACTCAGGCATGCACATGCATGTACGTGCACACGCAGGGACAGTCACACATTCATTCAACCCTATGTTACGGATCATGGAGTGACAAATGGCTCGGCCTGCCTCTCCTACAAGGGCAGTTGATTGCTATGGCAACACAGTGTAACCTCCAGACTCCAGGCTCACTGCTGCAAATTCTCCAGCTGAGATGACCCCTGACCCTGACATTGCCATTATCATTACTTTACTACCTTGTTAAACCCCCAGATCCTGTGTTCTTCTCTTCTCTTTTCAATTTGTTGGCCTACTTCTGTCTACCAACTTAGCCTCTCTTCCTTGATCCTGAATTCCTTCCTTCCCTGTAGTATGTTCGCTCCATCGTTCACCATCTGTTGCTGCCTGGAGGGCTGCTCCAGCTGACCTGCCCTCATGCTGTTTACCAGGAGCTACAGTCAATCTGTTGCTAACCATGCAAAACATTCACCAAGAGTATACTCCCTGTTTCAAGCTAGCACACAAGGTCAAGTTGGCTTAAACTGACCACAGGATGGCCCGTGAAAATGGCCCGTGAAAACCCCTGACTACTGGCGGCATGATTTCTTTTTGGGAAATATTCAGTAGGTAAACATCTAATTACATGGTTGATATATAGTAGATAGTGGATAAACAGAATGTAAGACCTCTCTTTAACCTCCCTTACTCTCTGTTGCTTTCCATTGATTTTTCTTCTATTCCAGAATATGTTTTCCCAATTGCCTTTTGTGTACAGTTACTTCTCATATATCCGTCTCCTCTAACATCTCCCCTTTCTGTTTGACTCGAGTCTATTTCTCCTCTCCCCCTTACCCTCCTCCTTTCCAGTGCAGTGCATGTACGTATTCATCGGAGGTATCCACATAAAGTTAAAGATGAAGGTGTAAGATCAATCGATATCCTGTTGGTAGTCCACATAGGTGGGTTGTCATACAATCATTGCACAGATTGCTGTGGGAAAGGAGCAAATTTGTCCTGTCAATGACAGAGTGTGCAGTAAAAGAGGCGAGACAAGGGTCCAGCAGATATCAGTATTCTGCTCACATTTCAACCACATGCACGCACCACATGCACGCAAGCATCGATACAGTAGGTTGTTAAAGGTCCGGGAGCAGGGTGTTTTTATGGCTCTCCTTGCTTATATCTGTGTAGGTAGAGTAGTGGCTTAAAAGCATGGACAGAAGTGCATCTAATCTATCTCTTCTCTTACATCTTAGACATAAATAGGATGGTGTACAGATTGAATTTTATAGTTTGGCTCAAGGGATGGAATGGATGTCCACCACTTTGGTCCAGTATGAAATATCTCAGCATTCATTTGATGGATTACCTAAACATTTATGCTGAATCCTACTGACTTCGCTGATCTCCTGACTTTTATTCCAGCACTACCAAATTCTGACATCTTTGATTTATGGTAAAATGTCTCGCAAGCATTGGATGCATTGTCGTGAGATTTTGTACAGACATTCTTGGTTCACAGTTGATCCATCTAACTTTGGTGATCCCCTGACTTTTTCTCTGGAACCACCATGAAGTTGACATTTGTGGTTTTGAGTGTAATGTCTCTATAACTATTGACTGGATTGACATGAAGCTACATACCGACATTCATGTCCCCCTTCAGGATAAAATGAAATAACTTTGGTGATCCTAACTTTTCATTAGGTCAGAACTGTCTAGTACTTTATGACCAAGTACCTGCATAACGTTCCCATCAGCCTCTAGAAAATGTTGGAATTCTAACCTGCTGAACTAAGATGGTGAACATCAGGATGTTAGCATTGTGACTGTAAGCAAGTTAGCACACTAAAAGTTTTGGCTCAAAGCAGAGCAACTCTTAGACTTGTTTTGTTAGTGCCAATATGATGCCTATTTCAAGTACCAAAATAGAAACATATTTTTGTTGATATCCTTTGAGGAATGGAAATAGAGGTTAACAGCGACACACAATGTGTCAGTTTTACACTTTGATTTTTGATTAAACCAAGGAGATAGAGAGAGTTTTAGAGATGTTAGTCGACAGATTTGTATCTTCTGACAGAATCAGGCTATTTTTTCCTGATGACTTGTGCTAAGCTAAGCTAACTGGCTGCTCCATTAGAATGATCTTAATCTTCTTATATCTCTCAGCAAGAAAATTAATGTGTATTTACCAAAATGTTAAACAATTTCTTTTATGCCTTGGTGTTGCAATCAGTATCTCAAAAACTATAAAAATATCGAGCTGTACGGTACGCTATCTTCTGGCTCCAACAGTAATCTTTGCCTTGTCCACTCATAATCTTCACCATTTCTCTTCTTCTCCACCTATTCCTTACCCACTTCCCCAACTTTATATCTTTTTTCCTGTTATCTCCTCTTATGTCTCTTCCTTTCTCTTCTTCCACTGACCCTTCCACTTCCTCCACCTTCTCCCCCTGCCCCATCATTACTCCTCTTTCAACACTCATCTTTCTAAGGCTGCCAAATTCCCCAGCACAACAGTGCTATTCTGCTGCCTACTAATAGAATCTCTCAGTTCCTCTAATGGATCTGTCAGAATCTTCCTGGGCACAGGAGACCAGATAGATTGATAGGAAGAGTGAGAGAAACAGAGAGAGAGAGAGGGACAAAGGGACAAAGAGACACAGGGACACATGAAGAGAGAAGCAAAGAGAAATGGGAGAGATGCGTTGGGGCTCTCAACACTTTCATCTGTGCCATGGAAAGTCTCAGAGCAGCAGCTCCACTGACACTGCCAACCAGCGACCATATGGTCCGACAGAAGCAGTGCCACTTAAGGCCAACCCATTGTCACCACGGGATAAAGTCAGTTTCACTATGGTTAGGTGAAAGTAACAGACAGGGTGAGTCTTTTCCAAGAGTGTACTGTACTTATATGCACAGGCAGGGTTTCTACTTTTTCGTGTTTGCTTCAATGATTCTGCACTGGCACTCACCCAGGAAGAATTCTTTGTAAAATGCAAATGAGAATAAATGGTGGGAAACCTTGTGGGCTCGCTGCCACGGCATAAAGTAGAATCTTTATCACACTAATACACTTAAAACACATTTAACACCCTAAATAGGTTATAAAAAATTGTTTTGAGTAGTAGATAAAGTGAACTTTGTGTAAATATATTACGTTGACACTTCTGGTGCTGTGGTGGGTTTACGCTTTGAATTAAACAATGTTTTTTTTTTATCCACCAGGACCATTGCTATCCATTCCAACAATCCAATCATTAATTTCTTTGTCCCAAACAACCTTTTCAAGTTTTTCCTGTGAAATATCTACCAGGCACAAGTTTTGGAAGTCTTTTAATTAATTACTACTAATTACGGGTGCATTAAATTAAATTAAAAGTAGCAAAATGGACATGTGTTTATCTCAAGGTTTTACAGATTATTTAAAATACATCACATACTGCGTATGTCTAATTATCTTCTTTCAATGATGTACAGTGGGGTATCTGACACTCACCGTTGTCTGTGGCGATGAAGACAGCTGTGTATTTATTGTCATGGACATAAGGAGACTCGCGGTCCAAAGAGGCCGACGTGTTGACAGTTCCTCTGACTGGGTTCACACTCAGCCAGCCTGCTGGGTCTTGCAGAACAGCATACCTGGGAGAAAGTAAATAACATAAGTAAGAAGTTGTGACCATATAAGCACCAGAACATCAACTATGGTCTATCTCTCAGAAAAGGTGTCTTTACAGTTTATTTTGGTCTTATATTTTTAGGTTACAGGCATCTCACAGACAGACAGCTCCATATACAACAGCAACAGACACAACAGGCATTTTAACTCTCTCTGTACACTCCATACTTGTCCTGTACACTGTATAACAAATAAGAATTCCTGACTCTAGCTTAAAAAATATTCCTATTTGGAAAAATTGTGCAGCAAAGGTTTTTAAATTATATTATAAAGCAACAAGATAAGTTGTTGTAAGACTACTATATACATGAAAAGAAAAACAAGGGTGAAAAGAAATGTGAAACAAGGCTGTTTCTTACACAATCTAAGGGACCTCGTTGAGATGGCACATTGTTCACATTTTATATATCTGCCCTTTTAAAGAGCAGCTCTTAGAGTTACCTTGGACACCTACTACTGCGAATGATTAAAACAGTGTAGGTGAGACCTCTTTACAAACAATAAGTATAAAACCTAGTAGTTTCAGTGAAGATGCTACAATACTACATAAGGGATGGCTAGAATCAAATTAAAACAAAAGCTAGAATCAAACTGCAGTTTGATGAAGTTTTATCATCTGAAGCTAGATACTGTACAGTTTATGTAATGTGTTTATGTACAGCATAACATGTGACAGTACGGCTTAAAGGCGACAGAAGAAAATAATGAACACAACATTTCAGCTAAGAGCTTGCCTAAGATTTGTTAAGTGAAAGAAAGTTGTAAGTTGTGCAGTTTGTTATAGATGTGATAAAGGTGCTGAGTGAACGTTGTGGAAATGTGCCCAGAGTTACTTCCTGTGCATAAGCTCTGTCCCTAAGTGCATGTGTGTGTAGGTGACTGCTGCAGCAGCTCCTGCAGGGCTGAGGTTTGAAGATGATGGAGGACCTCTCCAGAAATCTTGTGGGCGAACGGCCAAGCCGACATCGCCTTGAAAACGAGCAGAAGAGCAGATCATGACCCTGCTAATGTGGCCACTCAGCCGGCCACTGATGGCGAGTGGATGGTGATTGGAAGGGGCTTGCATCTGTGTTAATGTCAAAAGTGATTGATTTCGAAAGTCTGGTGCACCATTTTTTTTACCATGTATACACAAATGTGCAGGCACGTACATACATATCTTTAAGCAGATACTTATAAATGGGCCTACATGTATATAAGTTGTATTTGTGCATAGATGCACAAAAGGCACAAATAGGCAGCAAGAAATGTCTCAGATACACACACACAGACACACAAGACGACAGACTTTCTTCACCACAAGGCCGCTCTTTGCCAAAGTGCTCAGCAGTAGACAAATTGTCTTTGAAATGGAACTCTTCAGCTAACAGAGCGCGACAAAGCCTTGGGAAATGGCTTTGCAATCAACCTCTGCTCACACCTTTCCCCCCTCGCTCTGACTCACACGCACTTTCCTTGCCAGTGATCGCTACTGTTAACCAACACATATGTTTACCTGTAACAAAAGAGGCACTGCTGTGAGGTTAAATGCACTATGAATAATGACACATATATCATTGTACATGTTCTCCTTCTTCACGTCTCTCTCTGCTTCTTACACGAACACACGGAGCACCCATATGATTCATGAGGCCAACTCAGCCAGTAAAACAGAGCTAGACTCACAGGTTATTAACCTCCATATGTCTCACTCCTCCCATCACTGACTATACTATCAGACATTCACTCTCATCTCTGTGTTGCATATTACATTACATGTAAGACCTACTAAATATGTACTACAAACTTACAAAATTGCAGTCAAGAAAATACCAAAGTCATGTATGAGGTCATTTAGAAACAGTCTCTATCTTCTCTTTATTTTTTAACTGTAATATGTACTGCTCATCAAACTGTATCTTGGTCACAAGTTTGATATTTTTGGAAATATGTTTATTCGCATTAGCTGAGTCCAAAGACAGAAAACAGGAGAAAACAGCCAGCCTAGCTGTGTCCAAAGGTAAGAAGAAAAAAGCTCACTAATTAGTACACATTAATTATCTTGCTTGTTTTGAAGTGTAATAATGACATGTTGTGGTTTTATGAGGGGTTATTTCCTGGACAATCTGCCTGCCAGTGTTATGATGATGTCAAGACTGTTTCCAGTCTTTGTGCTAAGCTAAACTAATCAGCTGTTAGCTGTAGCTTCATATTTTGCACACAGGCATGAAAGTGGTATCAACTTTTCAAAAAATGCTTAACTATTTCTTAAATGGCAAATTTTACTGTCTGGAATACTTATCAGAGATGTTTGTGAAAAGTTTTCAGATTCATTTTTTTCCTCAAAAATCCAGTTACAGTAGAGTTACAGTAAATCCAGACATCAACAGAAACTACAATCCAAAAAAGGTGCTATGTAATATACATTTCGACACTGATGCCCTGCTAAATCTTTCAGAGTAAAGCAAAAATCCCTCTGCATTAACCAGGGATTGAAGTCTGGAAATCAGCAGAGCAGCCTGACCATCATGTATCCCTGAAATCTTCCCTTAAATGTTCATTTTGATCCCATATAAAACTCACATTCACTCTAAAAGCTCAAACCCTGGGAACCTCTTTCAGACACGCTGACAGCCAAATACAACGGAGCTACGTGGACTGTTGAATTAAATATCAGGGTTTCTACCAACAGTAGAAGTTCCGAAGACGTGTAATGCTTCTGTCTGTTTAAGTGCAGGCTCAAAGGTAACCACTAAATGAGTCAGATCCACTGTTCCTCCCCTCTGTGAAAACATGGGGACAGTCCATTAGAGCCCTTTAAAGGGCAAATTAGAAAGACATTAAAAAACCATTAGGAATATTCATATCTGGTTATACGTGGTTATCTCCAAAAGCAGAGAAGGCCCAAACAAATCAGTCAACAAATGAGACAGCGCACAAACACACTGATCACGCATGTCCCCATTTAGCTGCAAATACACACACCCGCTTTAAACATGCACACACTCAAGCAAAAAGTAAAACGTGCAAGTTAAAGCAAAAAAAAAAAAAAAAAAGCCTGTGTATTCTGCTTGCACTGTGAAATAATTCTCAAGACAGCGAGGTGATTTGTCCAGATTTTTGCTTGAGTGGCAGAAAGTGCCAGATCGCAAGCAAACACTGTGACCCCAATGTTGGAGGGAGCAGGCCGTTATATTGCTCTTTCCGTTGCACTGCAGAGCTACACCCTTAGGGGCTACTCTGAGCTGCTATAGCTGCCATCAGAGCCCAGTCAGGGTGTGTGTGTGTGTGTGTGTGTGTGTGTGTGTGTGTGTGTGTGTGTGTGTGTGTGTATGCATGTATGTGTATAAGTGTGTATGTTTTGGTAAGGGATTGCCCTGAGCTGTAAGAGGACACAGAGGAGCCTGGCTGGGGCTGGCAGGAGTCTAGTGCATCTGTCTGACTGACTCATTAGGTGCAATTTAAAAAAGAAGAAGAAGCCATCCTTTCAATGTTTATCAAAAACAAAGGGTTGGTTTAAATTATGAGTAAAAATGTAAATGATCTGCTTTTAAGTTGAAAATACTATAATTTGAGAAAATTGCAGGCACTTGGTAATTTTTGTTGTTGTAGTTGAAAACATATAATTCTGCAGCGGGTATGCTATTTTACAACATTCAATAAGAAAGCTGTGCAGAAAAACCTAAAACGATTTTATTTGAACACTGAAATAACCTGGCACAAAATTATGCTTAATAAAACTATAAAGGGAACAATACATATTGAGGATGTATTCAGAAGTATTTATCTGGGAGCAGAGTGTTACTGTGGCTCTTGTTGATGTGTTGAGGCAGATGTGGTCTTTCTAAGTCTAATCTAAGCCTTGTTCTTCAGTGCTTTCAGACAACTCAAAGGGATCTGGGAGCAGAAGGGAGAAAGACACTTGCCTCCCACTTGTAATCCAGTTACATCGGGAGCAAAATGCTGGCATACATTGTGTACATCTGTGTGTATTTTTTTGTCAGTAGCAGGTGTGGGTGGGATACACAGAATAAGACAATTTGTGGTAAGAGCTCATTTAGAGAGAATATAAAAGCTGAGTAGTGAGCACCATAGAGCTCTTTGCATAAATGATGATTATTGCTCTGGTTTGTTTTTTCTTGGTAAGATATGTTGCTGGCACCACTTCTAAGTAGTAGTGTGGTTATTTGTGCAGTTTCTTCTTTTTAAATGCACATAGGTTTGCTATGAACTAATAGTGAAGGTGGATCTCTGATGAGCTTGGAGTCTCACAACATGCTTTTCTAATAAAAAGGTTGAACACTGAAGTGCTTTTCAATTTGTTTAATTTGATTTCCATCATACCGTAGCCATATTGCTTGTTGCACGTCTTGTTCGAACATCATGTTTGTGTCGAGAAACTAAAAATAAAAAAATAAAAAAATAAAAAGTAATGATCTTAAATGGATGGTTAAATAATCTTAACTGACTTACACTTTTCTTGCATCATCTAGTGCAGTATTAAACGTATTGAAATGCAAATGTTAATAAAATGTAGCAGATAAGTTTTCAGGCATTAGTGAACACTGAGACTGTCCTCAAACATGCAAATGAGTGATTCAGTTATTTATTATTGCACTGTCAAAACGTTTTAGAACTCACAAAAGACTGATTTTGACCATTCTTTTTAAAAACTTAGCATTAGAGGCTCAGATATCCTGACTTTTAGTCCCTGGTATAGGTCAAGCTTCAAAAACACTAGATCCTACATTTCCCATGATGCAACTCAGTAGCATCTTTCATTAGACCAGGGCTTCTAAAATTGTGTTGTGGGCCCCATTGGTGGCTCATAGAGCCACTACAAGTTGAGGCGTGGATGACCAAGGAAAAATATTAAGTGGAACTAAGATGAATGAATGTGATTTATGTAGGTGAAATAAAGAGTTTGCTGACACTATTGTGAAATTCAACTTGGATTAGTTTTGGTTCCCCTATCATTGTTACT